TATCCATAGGGATCACATGACAAATGATCAATGGGTTCAAACACAGCTAAAGGAGGTTGAAGAAGATAAGGCTCCGGAAAGACCAACTTCTACAGACAGCTTAAATCTCAAAAGGACTTTGTCCCTACTCGAGAAAAGGGATTCTGTAACTGAAGAATCTCTAGACGAAAGTGTAACAAGTGAATTGGACGGCCTGAATGGGCCCATCACCATCGAACGCTTAAAATCAGCCTTGAGAGGCGGACGCAAGACTTTGCAGGCACTTTACGCGGAGCTTGAAGAAGAACGAAGTGCTTCGGCTGTAGCAACAAATCAAACAATGGCGATGATTAATAGACTCCAAGAAGAAAAGGCGGCAATGCAAATGGAAGCTTTACAGTACCAGAGAATGATGGAGGAACAATCCGAATACGATCAGGAAGCTTTGCAGCTGTTGAACGAATTAATGGTGAAGCGAGAGAAGGAGAAGCAGGAAGTGGAGAGAGAGCTCGAGGTTTACAGGAAGAAGCTTCTGGATTATGAGACGAGAGAAAAACTGAGGGTTTGGGGCAAAAGCAGAGACGGGAGTGTCAGGAGTGGATTCTCATCCGCTTCCTGTAGTAATGCCGATGATAGTGATGGGTTCTCCATAGATTTGAACCAAGGCGTGAAAGAAGAAGAGGGTGTTCATGGGAATTCAGATATTGGAAATCAAAGCACACCCATTAATGCGGTCATGAATTTGGAAGAGTCATTATCGGATTTTGAGGAGGAAAGGCTGTCCATTCTTGAGCAGCTTAAGGTTTTGGAAGAGAAGCTCCTGGCGTTGGACGATGAAAATGAACAGCATTTTGAAAATGTGAATGTAATTGACGGTGAAGATGCAAGTGGGCATTTAAATGGTGAAGGAAATGGACATTTGAATGGCAATCCAAATGGGAAGCCTGAAAAAAATAGAAGAATTTTGGGGCAGAATGAAAAATCACTCCGTCTGCTTTTCGATGCAATTTCGGATGAAAATGGTGGCGGGATGGTGAATGGGAATGGATTTGATTCCTATGGAGTCCATTATTTTTATGAATTGAAGGTTGAAATGGAGAATAAGAAGCTTGCAATTGAGGAGGAGGTGCATCATCTTCATGAGAGGCTACAGGCTCTAGAGGCAGATCGTGAGTTTCTCAAGCGTTGCTTTAGTTCTTTGAAGAAAGGGGATAAAGGAATGGATCTTCTGCAGAAGATCTTGCAGCACCTGCGCAATCTTCGTCACATGGAGCTTCGTGTAAGGAGCTTGGGTGACAGTGCTGTGATTCGAAGTTGCGCAGTCTGATCGTCTGCTGTTAATTATTTCGAACTGAAACAACTGATGGGAGTTTGTTTTTTCAAGGGCAAGGAAAGAGGGGCATCATATTTGCATCATTGCATGAGTAACAACTGATGGGAGTTTGTTTAGTCATTTTGAGTTGGTCCAGTTGTATACTAAACTGTATCCATCTGTAAGTAATTATAGTAGTGTGTACGTAGTAATATTTTGTTTCTTTCCGTATCTGGTAGGATAGTTCCAAACAAGAAATATAGATTCAAATGCACTTCAATGGAATAATCTACAGCTAAGTGGGAATGATTAGAACCAGTACGTGCAACTTTAATCATGCCTAATTACCATATTATATTACAGTTGGGCAGTCTCATCAGTCATGAGTGACATAAAAATGTTTTCATATAGCACCCACAATATTTTGAGTCTTTTAAAAAAATCAAGTGACATGTAGGAAATAGACTTAGTCCACAAAAATATGTATTCCAAATAAAGTGAGAAAATTACCTAGTGGACGAGATATAATAATTTTTTCTCCTTAAATACGATGTAACTTTTTTATTTCCTAACTAATCTTTTCCTTTCCATTACAACGAGATATAATAATTTTTTTCTCCTTAAAAAAGCTCTATGTTATAACTAGGGTTGCTCACGTTATTGCTTGCGAAATTTTTGGGCGTTAGTGTTGAAAATTTCTCATTGTGCAAATGAAAGTGATTTTGGTTTTGGTTTTTGACTTAGCAATCCCAGCACTCTTATATGCAACAATTCATTGCGGATTTTGTTTCAAATTTTGGTTTGTTTTCCTTTGATTTTTGAAACGACGACTCTGAATTCTTCGCTCATGAATAAAGATTCTCGTCGGATCTCGGCACTAATGGGTTCATTGCGGAAATTTGTTGATGGAATGCGGGTTGGGATGGTGTTCGACGATTCGACGATTTACCGAGATCACGATGCTTCTTGGCATACCGCCCTTTCGGATCTCACCGCCGGCATTACATTTTAAATATGTTGTGCATATATCTGATGTAAACTCAGTTGAAAGAAGATTCAACATTCATTTTATGTTGGGTTTCTTTTTAGTAATTTTGATGTTTACCGATGCATTATGGTTAATGATTTTTTTTGTCTTGTTTGTAGTTTATTTTTAGTTACTATGTATGGTAAATTGTAAACAAGTAACCATTGAACTATGTGTAGTTCAATTTTATGTTGGTTTATATTTTCTGATTATGTTTGGTTTATTTAATGTTTTTGGATGATTTTTTTGTGTTGAATTTTTGTTCTTGATTTGTTTGGAGAGTTGGTTACATTCTTTATACTTGTTTTGTTTTCGGTATCAATATAATATCCTTATCGTTTCGGGAAAAAAAAAAGTAAGAGTATTAGTTTTATACTAATAAACTGAAAATAAACTATATATAAATTTATTGCATACTTGTAATGATTTATAAACATATAATAAACTAAAAATAAACTATATATAAAACTGAAAATAAATTATATATAAAACTAAAAATAAACATATAATAAACTAAGAATAAACTATGTGTAAAACTTATTTATAAACTCAAGATAAACCGAAAATAAAGTAAATAAATTTATGCAAATGGCCAACAATATTTTGTATTTATATGAATGTATACTTGTAATGATTTATAAACTTATAATACAATAAGGGTGAGTTTTGTTGGTAAAGAGGTATTAGGCTTGATATAATCACTTTGATATTATCAAAGGCTATCCATCTATTTAGTTAGGCTATTAACTTGTTTGGTTAGAATTTGATTTAAGTTTAAATTACTTTTTTACCCTCCATTTTAAATTAAGTTTTCTAAATAGTCCATCAATTGAGAAAATGGAGTCTGAAAAATGAAAATGGCGATTCACTTTTCTTCAACATCTGCAAGTTTCTAAATTAGTCCAACAAGTTTTGCACCTCGCAAGCCCTCGGCGGCCATCAGATCGTGCACAAGCGGGAGATAGACGCCACCAAGAGATTGTTGACGAACGCCGGCGGATTCTCCCGCCATCCGTCCGCCGCCGCCTTCGAGATTTACGGGTCAAGAAAATCGCTCGATCCGAAATTAATTTCCACCAGATCTGAAGGCTTTGGTGTTGTTGCTTACGAAATTA